ATTCTTTCACTAGTTGGAAGGTTGTTCTAAATGCCAAAAAACTTTCCTAAGCTAACATTTTATGTTACATTGGTTGAGTTGAATTAAAAATCTTACATGCTTTCAAATGTAATCCACAAACAGTGATGTCTCTATTCTGTTGGGGAAATCACTAATCAGGTTGCATAGCTACTTCTTTGATGCATTTATATGATTTTTTTTTCCTCACAAAAGTCAAGAAGAAACATAAGAGATAGCATTTTAAATCATCTGGTACCTAGAGAAAAATATTTCAGAGAAGGAAGAATGACAGGCTTGTTAAGAGTTAGGAAGGCTCCCTAGAAGATTAGCAAGTATGAATCATGCGTCTAGATCAGAAGGGTCAGTTCAATAAGGCAAGCTTTAAAAAGGTCCATTGGTCTGATCCCCAAGAGACAGGTTATAAAATGACTGATGCCAATCAAATCTCAATTTGAAGGCTCTATGTGTGTGAGTGTGAGTGAGTGTGCCTGTGTATTTCAACCGTTGAAATGTCAAATCAAAACCAACGTCAGTCATCATGGTGTCAGTGTGGTGGAGATGGAGTTGACATGTAGCTGGAGATTGGGGAAGCTGAAAGGTCTCTTTAAATGTTGAGAATTTATCTTGGAGTATTGGCAAGCAAGAAAGGATTTAAAGAATAGCACATAATTCTAGACACTTTTATAACCAGAAAAGTTTCTTCATTAACAATAGAAGAATCACCCTTTACCATAATATTAAACCCTTTCCACACACTCTGCAGGAGACATCTCATTTTTAATTCATTTAATTACAATGCTATTGCTTCACCCTTTTGTTTTCTCTCTGTAATTTTACTATTGACAGCAGTCAGTCTTTTTTTTTTCTCAAAGTTCCCCAAACTGATGTTTGTTCTGTCCTTCATGTGATGTCTCCCATTTTTCTAAGGTTCTTATACCTTCCTTCTAATCATTCATTACAATGTTAGAATTAAAAAAACAAACAAACAAACAAACCTGCAATTATACCATACATTTAAAATCACAGCATGAAAAAGTAAAATACCACACCTATCAGATCAGTCTATCTTTTTTTTAGATTTATTTTATTTATTTATGCATACAAGAGCTGGGGTATAGGCCAGAGGTGGGGGAGGTGAGGGGATTCACCAGAGTGGGGAGCAGAACAGGCATATCTACTGAAGTACACTGCTGAGGGGAGCAGTGAGCAGCAGGAGAGGTCTGCGCTCCATGTGGGACCCTCGCCCCGCAGCCGGGGATCGAACCGGTGCTGCAGAGGCTGCGGGCAGCTTCACAACCCAGCGCTCAACCACTGCGCACGTGGGGAGGCCCTATGTGCCATTCTTACTGGTGTAAAGTGGTATCTGAGTGTGGTTTTGATTTGCATTTCCCTGATGATAAGGGATGTTGAACATTTTTTTCATATGCCTGTTGGCCATTTGCATTTCCTCTTTGGAGAAATGTCTTTTGAGTTCTTCTGCCCATTTCTTGACTGGATTGTTTATTTTTGTTTTTGTTGAGCTGTGTGAGTTCTTTGTGATCAGTCCCTTATCAGTTGGATGGAGTGCAAAGATTTTTTTCCCAATCAATGTGGTGTCTCTCTGTTTTGGTTAATGTCTCTTTGGCTGTTCAGAAGCTTTTCAGTTTGATGTAATCCCAGGTGTTTATCTTTGCCTTCACTACCACTGCTTTGGGTGATGAATCTTTAAAGATGTTTCTAAGATGTATGTCTTGTAGTGTTTTACCTATATTTTATTCTATATATTTAATTGATGGAGTGATTATAACCAAATAGGAGGGATCCTACATTATATCCCACATGTGATAAAGGAAGGGCTAGAAACCATGTATGGATAGAATAAATGTCCCAGTTCAGACTATAGCTGCAAGATTATGAAATAGGTGACATTTATCTTCAGTGTTCATTACTTCTCTCTTACCAGCATGTCAATGTAACCAAAGACCCATTATCCTCATGTTTCTCTAGGGTCTCTTCTGTTACTGAAGATAGCCAATTAATAGACTGATTGAAGGTATGGTATTTATAGGGTGAGTGTATAATTTATTGTTTAATATGACTTTTAAAACTGAAAGGGATTGCTATTAATTACTTCAGGAAAAGTATTTCATACCCCAAGACTATCTTGGATAAATGAGGATCTTAAAAATTAAAGACTTAATATTTAAGATACTCCTTTGAAGATACTTCAGTGTACATCTAATAAATGCTACCTCTTGCTTTGAGTGTTTTACTTATAAATAAATAAAAAAGACCAAGTGAGGGCCTCCCTGGTGGTGCAAGGGGTTGAACACAGCCATGAGGCTATCTGCAGCCTCTACAATGCGAGTTTGATCCCTGGCCAGCCTGGGAGCTACCCACATTGTGCAGCAGACCTCTCCTGTCTCGCTTGCTGCTCCCCTCGGCAGTGTATTTCAGTCAATCCGCCTGTTCTGTTCTGTTCTGTTCTGTTCTCCACTCTGTCTCTAGTGAATCCTTTCACCCCCTGCACCTCTGGCCTATACCCAGGTTCTTGTATGCATAAATAAATATATCTTTAAAAAAAAAAAAGACAAAGTGAGAAGACAATGATTAGGCCAAATTAATACATCACTAATGACATAATTTTAGATACATTTGCCCATGATAAGGAAGACATTTATTGATAGATTACATTTCCAGTACTTGCTGAGTTTTATACTTCCTATGTGTGTCTAAACTGGGCCTACATATGACCTTTCGGGATCACTGGGGTAGGTATATGTCCATGGGAATACACAGTCAGAAGAGTTGGCAACTACATTTTATTTCAGCCCATACAAACCTAGACATCTTGTCCTCACAATTAGGACCACGATCAAAGCTAAACTATATCCAGTGTAAATAATTCATAATGCACTTCCTTTTCTCTTCTCCCTTCCTTAACCCAAACTGAGACCCATTTTGTGTTCCATTGCTCCTTTGAGAAATAATCATCCACCACCTCAACCCTTTTCCCAATTTCTGTCTTTCTTGCAATGTCCGCTCTTTCAAAATACCTCATTATCTCCATTCTCCCACTGAGCCTGCAATGTGATGGCATTTGCCTTGCCTGAGGAATGAAGAGACAGCTTTTCCTCTCTCAACAATCCTGCACATTTAGATCTGACCAGAGCATTCTCTGGCTGATTCCAAATGTATTCCCTAGAAAGCGGAGAACAGCCCTGTTTATCCCCATTGTCATCGAGTGGGAGAATGTTCTGCCAGGTCTCCTGACAGATTTCCTAGGCAAAAAAAAAAAAAAAAAAAAAGGCTCTGTAGTGCTTAGAAAACAAAGCTATTTCAGGTTGCTTGGCTGTGAGCTGATAAACAAGGCCTGGGGTGAGAAATGCAACACACAAACACACACACACACACACACACACACACACACACACCACGGGCCTGCGGTCAGTTGAAGACAAAACCGACATATTTAGCAGTCAAGCCACATTGCTTTTTTTCTGACCTGTTGGCTACATATTCAGTTGATAGCTTCCTGTTACCTATCACAAAACAATAAAAATCTTTTAAGAAGACAGTCCAAATTGCTCTAATACCTTCTTTAAAGAGAACAAAAATGCAGAAAGTTAGCCTGTAGGGACTTCATTTTTCATAGATATACAATTTATGGTGTTTAAATATAAGTGTTTGATTTCAGGTTGAAACGATCTTGTCAAAAGGTACATGAAAGACATTTACGCTGGGTTCTTTTCTACTTCAGGTTATAGCTGATCCCTCTCACGTCTTTTATCCCCAGAACACTTGACTGGCACCTGACTTCATTTCACTTTAGTTCTGATTCGGGGAAAGCTGTTTTTTTTTTTTTTTTCTATTTTTCATTCCTTCTTTCTTTCTCTTTAATTTTTTTTTTGGGGAGGTGTTTCTAAAGATAGAGGGATTCAGGGATGGACAAAGAGGAGGTGACCGAGGAGATTTTTTCTCAGACTTGTTTAAGGGAGTAGCAAAAAGTCAGTAATGAAGATAAATAATATTTTAATGTAATATTACACAAATTCAAAATCAGTGCAACATTCCATGTTGAACAAAATACCAAACATTAAAAATTAAACAGGATCAGTTTTACTAGGTTTTTTTTTTTTTTTTTTTTTTGCTTTTCTTTTGGGCTCCACTGTGGTTTTGCTTGGCACTGCATGGATTGTAATGACAATAAGCTGGAATATGGGATGCCATTTCTGAAGCGCCTGCACATCTATTCTTCCCTCCTTTCCAGAAGCATGTTGGCTGAGGGCATCATGGATCAGAGTCAATGGAATCACTCGCATTCATTGAGTAATAATTCGTCTCAACCCATAGATACTACAACCACACAAAACATCCCCAAAGACACTACTTTCAGATTAAATAAAGAGAGAGAAGGTACAAAGGCAAACCGATTGGGCAAGGGATTACAGATCTGAATGGATCTGCTCACTAGAAAGAGGGAAGAGAGGAGGGAATGAGGGGCGTTGGAGAAGGGAAGGGATCAGGCTGTTGTGGAAGTTTCAGGGGGAGTCTCACAAGTGAGTGTGTGTAAGTGTGCAGAATGCTTGAATCTATAGTTTTCCTGGGAAGGATGCTGGCATTGGAATTGTAAACTGTAGAAGACTTTGGACAAGTTTCCTAGCCTGACTATAATGTTGTATTGCCTATGTCGTCAAATTTTCTGTTAAGATATCAGAATTGATAGTGGGGTCAGGTAGGCTTTTCTCAAGATATGCCCAGAGTAGGCATTTACAAAAAGGAGACACCTTCATATGGAGAACTAAAGGTCAGCGGAGACCCTGTGAGCCTTGAGAATTACATTACAGTACTGGACCAATGCAGACTATTTTGAAAGCAGTGAAGGCATTAGCAGCTTTTCCTCCTTTGTTCTTTTGCAATACTGTGATATCCATACAAAGGGGAAGCCACAAATTTCCTGCCCCACCCAAGGTAGGGTGGAGCTGAGTTGGGAGAAGTTAAGACTGAGGCTAGGACTTGGGAAGAAAGGAAGGAAAGAAGAGGACTAGGAGAAGACCCAGAGGAAGCACCTGGAGCAGAGAGACACAGGAAGAAGGAGTCATCCTTGCTTGGATCTGTATCAGGGGATCAGGAGACATGGAAGAAGACCCTTGAAAGAGACAGAGACATGGGTGAGAGACCTGTGGGGAGGCCGACAATGGCAGCCTTTATCTTGACTTATATTTTGATTTTGTTCTTTTCCTTCTAGACTTGTCTGGTCCCTTCTGCCTCCTTTTCTGTGGTTCCCTGCCAAAAAGTACCTTACCCCTGTGGCAAGGTTTTAGGCCTCAGTTGTCCTGCTTTGGGCCACACCTGTCTGTCTGGGCATTTATCCATGAGGGGATGGATAACTTGGGTGTTTAATTGAAACTATTTTAACTTTTCTTTGTTGCACACCAATTATCTATTACCTACTAATCATATTAAAGTTCTTTTCTATTGAAGGTCTTAGGCACTAAGACCTAAGTGACAGGACCCACTTAGAGAATGCAGGTTGGAGATTCCCAGGATGATCCTCATTCTGCCCACTAATGCTTTTTCCTAATCAAAGAAGAAATTACTGCTCCCCTTTTCATGACTTAGAAGGATGTAGTTTTCTTGTGGGGATGGGTGTTGTCTGGGTGCAGGTTTAACTATGAATATGTCCTCTTTATCTGAAAATCTCATCTTCACATGCAGCTGCCTTGGACCAGATTCTGGGAACTAAGGGGCAGAACTGACTGACCAAGTGAATCTATATAACATAGAAGGCAGGTTTTCTCAGGAGAGACACGTGGAGAAGGGCTTGCTTTCTTCTCAGCTGTGCACTTGAACCAGGAACTTGGGAGGAGTGAGAGACAAATAGGAAGGTTGAAAAGGGTGAACAATATCTGTGTTGTTTTTTTTTTTAAGATTTAATTTTTATTTATACAAGAGCTGGGGTACAGGCCAGATGTGCGGGAGGGTGAGAGGATTCACCAGAGATAGAGTTGGGAACAGAACAGGTAGACTGATGAAATACACTGCTGAGGGGAGCAGCAGGTGAGACAGGAGAGGTCTGCTAGCCAGGTGGGGTGCTCCGAGGCCGGTGGGGATTGAACCAGCACTGCAGAGGCTGTGGACAGCTTCACAGCGCTGTGCTCAACCTCCTGTGCCACCAGGGAGGCTCCCGTACAATATCTCGATTTGTACTTTGATTTTGCTACTTTTTTTTTTAAAGAAAGCTTTTTTTTTTTAAAAGATTTATTGATTTATGCATACAAGAACTGGGGTATAGTCCAGAGGCGCGGGGGGTGAGAGGATCCACCAGAGACAGAGTGGGGAACAGAACAGGCAGACTGATTGAAATAAATGCACTGCTGAGGGGAGTAGTGGGTGAGACAGGAGAGGTCTGCCGCTCCATGTGGGTTTCTCCCTGCCTGGCTGGGCATCAAATTCATGCTGCAAAGGCTGCAGATTGCTTCATAGTGTGGTGCTTAGCCCCTTGCGCCACCAGGGAGGCCCTGATTTTGCTTCTTTAGTCTTACGCTTTCCTGGCCCCTTCCACCTCCTTCCTATGGTTCCTTGCCAGAAGGTATCTTAGATTTGTGGCAAAATTTTGAGTCTCTTTGTCCCTGCTTTGGACCAATCCTATTTGATTGGGCATTTGCCCATGAAGGGTAAGGAACTAGTGTTTTATTGGCAAACTGATCTTTCCTTCTCATCTCCCTATGCACACTAATCTATTAAAGTTATTTTACACTAAGAATTGCTTTGTCTTTGTGCACATAGATGGCTGGACTCCATTACATTATGCAAATTTGGGGGTCCTGAGGTACCACTTGGTTGCATGCTAAACAAAGGTATGATAAAGCATCAAAGCTAAATTGGCATAACTTGGGGCAAAAGAGAGTTGAGGTTAGGCTTAAAGGTATATTTCCTTTTTTTTTTTTTTTTTTTTTAAGAGTTAACATTCAGAGCCCCTGAGGTTATTGAGGAATTTTCTTTCTGGAGTATTTATTTGTTTGATATGTACCTTTGCTAAAGACTGTGAAATTACCCAAAATTAATTTTAAATACATTAAACACCTGTGACAGGAAACATTTTTTGCTGGTGATAAAATTGGCAATAGTTCTAATATTATTGGCAGCTAGGACAGGAGTCCCAAACCATGATTATTGTGCAAGTTATTCAACTTCTGTTAGCCTGGAGCCACTTAAGACTGAAGAGATGACTTCCTAATAGAACATGGTTAAATGACAATACTGGATAATATTTACCTGGGGATCTCATTTGTATTCTCAGTGCAAATTCAGATACATCTGGCATTTCAGGGTAATTTTTTTTTTTTTTTGAAGTCTTTCTTCCTCTCTTCAGTCTCTTCAGGTTATTTTTTAAAATTAATTTCTAAAAATTTTTTACATCTTGTTCATTTTTAAACAATATTTGCTCTCCCCTACCCCCTCAGGTGTAGTCTCCAGAGAGTTTCCTTCACCAATGCACCCGTGCACCATCACCTCAGGCCCCTGTGCTCCTCCCTCCCTCTCTCTGATCCCTCTCATTTCAGGGTAATTTTACAAGGTGAGAGCAAGTTCTTCACGGGGATAGGGAGAAGTGGTCTTGAAACCAGGGTCCCACAGTGGATGGCAGTGCAAGACTGGTGTTTTCCCATTGCTTCCTAAGCAGGAGGAGATCTTGGAAAAATGGGGTGGTTTTCCCCATGGGGCCAGAAGTTGCGGCCTATGTGCAGCAACTCCTACCCCAGGGAACCAGTGTGTTTTGAGCGTGGAGCCCCAGGGGGAGTTTCCCACTGACTGTCCAGAGCACTGCCTCTGGGGTGCATCTAAGCTGCCCTGCAGCAAAAGTCTGCAGGACTACAGTGTGGCGTCCCAGTGCTGGTGGGGCTTAATGGCAGGCCCAGGTGTTAGCCTTTCTACTTTTGGCGCCTGGATCGTAGAATGGACCAGTCAGGTGAGAGGTAAATGAACCAATTGTGTTTATCAGCTCATTAGTTAATTGTTCATTGCCAGATGGACCAATTGGTCCTAAAATGATCCAATCAGTCCCTTGGAATTGAAAATGGTCCAATCCATAGGTATCAACTAGGGTGGGGGACCCAGAAAGAGGACACAATGCAGAACAGGAGTCAGCTTGTGAGGTTCAGATGCCCATTCTGTGCTCGGCCTCTAGGAAAGAAGAAAGAAGAAGCATCCAGCAGCTGACCTCTGTAGAGAGAAGGCAGAAAGCTTTTTAGCTATCAGGTGGCTGCACCTGCTTCCGTTCCTGCCGCTGCACGGCTTGAAGGAGCACCAAAGGCCCTGGGTCTGGTGTTTGTTGTTGTGTAGCCAACAACTCACAAAGAGCTGCTAGTGTATCTTACATCCCCTCCGGTGACCAGGTGACCAGCACTACTGGCCAGTGCTGCCCAATACTGCTGACAGGTGACCAGTTGGCTCTTTGGCTCTGGGTCACTTCTGAGAGCTGTTTGAACATGGAGTATGTAGTGCCATGAAGGCACAGAGCAGGATCTCTATTAACCTATGCCGATGGGTAAAGAAGGAATCCTGGAGCCCTCAGTGGCTTTTCCAGGCTTTTATTGAGTTTACCAGGTACACGGTAGGGGTGCCAGGGAGCCAGGAGGCTGGCAGGCCTCCCAAGCCTTAGCGAATCTTCACTCTTTCTGGGCTCTCCAGCATTCTCTCGTTCTCTCTATTCTGCTGGTTCTGTTCTGCTCTCTCACTTGTTCTGCTGGCATCCCCGTGACACCACCCTTATAGGCCCATTTTCAGCCCAAGTGAACCAACCTACATATGCCCTCACCCTACTCCAGGTGCCCGCCATTAGGCATGCATGCAGGACCACAGGGATCCATCATCAATGCTAATTGGCGGGAGGGCAGAAAAGCCTGATACTTTATTTACCTACAGTGCCTTTGACTGTCTGGCTTCCGGTGCTGCTGCTTCCGTTGCTCTCTGATCCAGCGTCTGGTGCTGTACATACCCTCAGAATGGCTGCGGGCTGCTGCTTTGTCGAGGTTTGTCTCCACAGCCCTGCCTGAGAGCACCTCCGGCTTGGGTGAGTTGGATTCCTGCCGCAGCTTCCCAGCTGGCACTTGCTCCAGGCCCTTGTTGGCGGGACGGCGCCATCTTGAGTGAGCAACCTTCTCTTTGGGACTTCTGGATACCGTGGACACTATCTGGGTGAGATCGCCAGCCATCTATGGCTTAGAAATTCTTTGTTTCCCCTGTATGTTAAACTGCATTGTTGTTCCCTGCGCCTGAGTGGACATGCAATTGGGCGTGTGGGTGGAAGCCCACAGACAGTGACGTGTCTTCTATTGGGCACTGTCCTTTGACCTGCTATAGAACCCCTATATCCCAGATTCAGTCCTCAAATCACTCTAGAAGGAAAGGTTTAATGTAGAGACTATGGTACAAGAGCTTAGAGCTGGACTGAATAGATGTTGAAAGGATCAGCTGCAATGACAAAGGTTATCTTGTTTGTTTGTTTTATTAAGGTATAATTGACATGTAACATTAGAACAGATCTTCAAATAATTTTTGGTTCAACTTTGTTTCCTTATAACATTGCTTTCATTGTGTGTCGCTTCATTTAACGTTGCAGTTTCCAAGAATCTACTGCTAGTGTTAGGTGAGGACTTAACCGTATATTAGTATATTAGTTTTAGGTGTACAAAACAATGATTTGCCATCCCCATACATTGCAAGATGATCACCAAAATACATTCAGCTATACTGTCATTACAAAGCTCCAAAAAAGTTTTTTTTTTATGATGAGAACCTTCAAGATTCCTGCACTTGACAACCTTCAAGTGTTCACATACATTGCAATGTCATGAACCATGTTGCAGTTCATCCCATCTATGCATTATCTATTTCACAATAGATAATTCTCCACTTTCACTGGACGTTTGTAGCTCATGAACCCTTCACATATTTCGTCCACCTTCTAGGCTGCCTCCCCTCTAGAAACTACCATTCTGTTCTTTGTATCTAGAGTTTTGTTTTATTTGTACTGCTTTGTAGATTCCACACAAAAGTCAAACCACATGGCATTTGTCTTTCTCTATCTGACAGATTATCTTTTTACCCAAACCCCTTTGTCCAGAGTCACAGGGTCTAGCCAAAGGGGCTTTAACTAATTATCAATTCA